GTGAGCTGGACTTGTTTGTGGAACAGCTTGATGGGAGGACAGGAGGGACGGTTTTGTGGAAGGATGAGCTCAAATGGGCCAAAGGGACTTTTTCACCTGAATCTCTCTCTCTCTCTCTCTCATGGTCTTGTGTTCACAGCCTCCAGCAAAACAACAGAGGCGAAGATTCGCCGATGACTAAAAATTTCATTTCTTTCCATTAAATCTTTGCAATGGAACATCCGATTCTAAATCTCCCAGTCTCGCTTCTGAACCGTCTTCAATAAATTGGTCAGTTTTTCGGGCAGCGAAATTAAAGCACGCTGGCACTCAAAATGTGGATGGCAAAATTGAACAGGCTTCCTCTGATGATAGAAATTAGCTCTGATTTCAGTAACCGGACTCCAGCAGATCTATAAACACAGCTCAACAATGTCTGTTGGTGAGGGACAAATATTGGGATCACAACACTATTCGTTGACTGTTGATTATACGAGCAACTAGTACAGTGATGGTCCGATAGGACTTTGCCAACTATTCTTCCTATTGTGTAATAACACCAGATGTGCAATATAAATAGCAGCCTGGGACTGCCAGTGAAGTGTAACTCTGTGTGTGTGACAGATTAAGGTTTACTATGGCCATCCCTGAGTGTGTCTCACTCAGTAACATCTTTGACTGATTTATTTTGAAATTTACCAGAAGAATGTTTTGCCAATTGGTCATTGTTACTTGCAATATACAATATAACAATAAAGCTTTTATCTCCTAATGGCCGTAGTTCTTACTCACGTTCCTTAGCACAATAATAACCCTTGCATTTGATTTTAGTGCGTTATCGTGTCTTCAAGACGTCTCAAAGCGCTTCATACTGTAAGTGACTTGACCTTGTATAGTCCTTGTATATTTTGTTGCTTGTAAATTGGGTGTTGGTGAAGAATCGAAAATGGCAAATACATTGTAGGATGAAAGGAGTTTTTTTTACACACACACAACACACACACACACAGACTTGTTACAGTCTGGAATGCACTGCCTGAAAGGGTGGAGGAAACCGATTTGATAATCACTTTCAAAAATTTGCAAGGAGGTGGGGAAAGAGCAGGGGAGTGGAAAAGTGGGTAGCTTTTCCGAACAGCTTTTACAGGCCACGATGGGCTGAATGGCTTCCTTCCGTGCCACGATATTCTGTGATTCAATGATTCTGTGTCTCACTGCTTAGAGATGGATTGTGACTGATGGCAGCAAAGCGAAAACTCACAGAAAACTCTGCGTCCTGCACAGCGCCCTGGATTATTGACCACATTCTTTCCAGAAATGCATCAATGTGTAAGTGTGTTTTTTAATGCCATAACAAAAAATAAAGCGAGGAGGATGAATGGCTTAACCCCACTTACTGACTTCTGCCTCCTACTAGGAATAAATGTTTGGGGCTCTCCTGGAACAATCTGTTATTTTGTTAGTTGCAAAGGCCCACGTCAGCAGCTGAACACTTAAACGGACACAAGGGCAGGCCCGACTGGGTTCTGCACGACTCCACACACCTCTGTTTAGCAGTAAGTAGGAACCCGGTTGTTAGTCAATTGGTGGATCACGTTTCCGGAGGGTAATAATCCCTTCAAAAAACAGTTTAAAAAAAAATGACAATGATTTGGTCACTCAATCCACGACTGTTTGTGGGCCACTCACTGCTGTGCACAATGGCCTTTTTGCAATTTTTCTTTTTTTAAAAAAAAGTACGTTTTAAAAACTCAAAGCTCTCCACTTCTCCTGAAATGACTCCTGCATTTGGAGAAGAAACTGCACTTCAGGACTCAGCTAGGAACAATGTCGTTCACACGTGAATGACCTCCCGAATACGGATGAAGGGAATCGGGATAAAGTTTAAATCACTCAGACGCTGGTTCAGATCTATAAATAATGATGGCATGAATTGTTGAGCAGAGCTGCGACTAATTTCACCTCCCTCCAGTTATCTGATTAGTCTATTGGAAATCTGTGGGAATTTCACCCACAAAATATACAGACAATTCACTTTACAGTATATCCTGTGAAGCGTTTTGAGACGTCTCGAAGACGCGATAAGGTGCCTTATCAAATGCAAGGTTTAATATTATTATTAAACATGTGAACTGGCAACTTCTGCCCTGTGAAGAAGTCTATCAGACATTGCAATGAGTAGTAAAAAGCTGAGAGCGAGCTACAATGCTGGGATACAACTTGGAATTGAACTGCAGGATCATATTACAGACCTGAAATCACTTCAGGGAATCTATTATGCATCACAATATATACTGTGAAAGTTTTTTAAATTCAATTTTGGGGGGTTTGTTGTATTCATTGGCTCCCAGGATGAACATCATTGTTCGGGTTCAGTGCCTTCTATCACTAATTCACGAGGACATTTGCAATCGTGCTTTAGAGGCTTAGGATTTTGAGACGAGTTATGAATGAGTTGTATTCCACAGTAGTTGACCAAGATTAGATGTAACTCATTGTACATTGTGAAATAGTATTCCACTGCAATCTTTCAGAATGTATAATAATAATACTTGCAATTGATAAAGCGACTTATCACATCTTCTAGACGTCTCAAAACCCTTCATCGAATAGACTGTAAAGTGAATTGAATGTATATTTTGCAGTTAACATGCGGCAGCCAATTGCGCACAGCAGTGTCCCACAAACAGTCGTGGATTGAGTGACCAAATTATTTTATTTATTTTGAAGAGGTTATTACCCCAGCAAAGCGATCTGCCGATCGACGAACAACCGGGTTCGTACTTAATGCTAGGTAAACAGAGTAACAATATAATCACGCTTACATCTGATATCACACCTTTGATGTGGGGAGGACATCTCAAAGCCCTTCACAGGATACGCTGTAAAGTGCTGCGACTGTCTGGGTATTTTGTTGCCTCAAGTGACCTGTAAATAACACTTTTGTTTCTCGTTTGCATTGATAGAGGTGGAGTAACAAGGATTGATAACTTCTCTCTATTCATTACCTTCCATCTCGAACTTGTGTCCTTCCCTCAAAAACAACAGGAACACTGTTTGCCGTATTTCAATGTAAATAATCTTGCTTTAATTTCCCTCCCTCCCCCCCCCCCCCACCCCGCACCCCAATGGAGATCCTGCATTTAAGCATCCCCCGCGTTGTATAACCTGCATTTGATCACAGTCGCCCATTGTGTTTCCTGCATTTAAAAGCTCGTTCCCATTGTGTGGCCTTCCTCTAAAAACTCCTTCCATTGTGTATCCTGAGGTTGAATACTGCTCCTATTGTGTTTCTCGCATATAAAAAGTGTTTCCCCATTTGGAAACCTTCTTTTTAAACATTGTTCTTATTGTGTTTGCTGTATTTCAAAGCTGTTGCCCATTATTTGTCCGGTATTTAAATACAGTTCCCATCGAGTATCCCGTATTTTTTTAAAAATAAAAAATAGTCCTCTCCCACTATACATCCTGTACAGTAATAAAATTCTAACTCTGGCCCATATCTCCCTCCTATTTATAAATTACCCAGATTAACTTTTTGCAACAAAAAAATGATGCTTTGCATTTTAAGAATTTTTAAAAAAAATAAAAAGGCAATGACTTTCTATTTTTTTAAAAAAAACTTTATAATATTTTTGGGGGTTGGAACTTGCGGTTTGGTTCACAATCTTTACAGCTGCCCCTACAATGTCAAACTCTTCATCGCGACAGACAGATACAGTTACACCACTTTGTGAAATGAATCAATGTATACGTTTGTTGAGTATCATCAGTCTGAAAACTGTTCAAAATATTATTGTTTAGCTTAGATACACAGCACTATTGGAAAGAGTTTTTAAAAAAATCTTTTCCCTGCTTCTGCCGACTACTTTTCAGTCAAACTGACTGCAAAATACATTAGAAACGTCAGTATCTGCTGCTGTTGGTAACTCGGGGCGACCATGTAATATAATTAAGTTATCTCAGCAGCACTTAATAGCAGTGGTCAAATAAATGTAAAGAAATTAGACCCCATTATTGCTCACAAGTCAGTAAAAACTTTCAGATCGTAACTTAATAGACATTACGCAGGACACTTTGGAAAGGTTGAAAGCACTCATCAATTATATTACGTGTAATGTGAATATTTATGACGGTTTAAAGCTATACCTCAGATATTGTGGGTCAGCAAAGAGGCTCATTAAAAATAATAAAGTATTTACATATTTAATGCAAACCTTTATCACTGCACTCATTTCGACTCAAATGAATGGCTTTCAATCAGTTTATGGTTTAAACATTTGGTAAATGCTAAAAGCTGGATTTACCTATAAATATACAGTCACTACACTTTACAGTAAATCCTGTGATGTGCTTTGAGATGATTTGACGAGAACACGCCAGCTATATCAAATGCAAAGACTATTATTGTTTATTATTATTATTGTTTTTGTTATGGTTCTTTCCTCCTTCAAAATATTATGGGAAACTAACAAATAGATTACTGAGAGAAGACACAGTGATGTCAATTTGAAGTCAAATCCATGGATTCACAGATCACTAAACTGTAGTGCTATGGACGCATATCGGTAATACACAGCACAGTATATTTCTTCCTGAAATACTAATTTCAAAAATGACTTTAAAAAGCTCAAACAGTTGCAGAAGCACAAAATTTTAAAACTTCTTTTTATGCAGACTTTTAGCAAGCTTTCCGGGGACAGTAATCCCTTAAAAAAAAGTAATAATAATAATTGGTCGCACAATCCACGGCTGTTTGTGGGGGACGCTGCTGTGCGCAATTGGCTGCCGCGTTTCGCCCACAGAAACATACAGTCAATTCACTCTACAGTCTATTCCGGTGAAGCGCTTTGAGACGTCTCGAAGACTTGATAAGGCGCTGTATCAAATGCAAGGATTATTCTTTATTATTCAGCATAAAACATTCCCCCTCCTCTCACCCCTGAAGCCTGACTATTTCTTTCGTTTTTCTTTGTGATGAATAAAAGTTTGATGCAGAGGAATAAAACAGCTGTACTTACATATGCACATGTGGAGGCTGGAAACGACTCTGATTGATATTATAATGTGTGAAAGCTTGAGTTGGGTTGGAGCTGTATTCATCCACCGTGATGCTAACTTTTCCCTGAGAAGGAATTCCTAAAGCCATCCTTCCAACCGGACAACATCCATTCACAACTTTTCTTGAGGAAAGGCGAAGGAACACATTGTTTTTTTTCCTCCAGCTTCTTGGGCTGATGATGGTCTGGTTCCGAAATGAAGAACGTGTGAGGAGGAAACAACTGCTCTGCTCAGCTGCCAGCCCTGGGGAGGGGGGGAGAGGGGAGGGGGAGAGGGAAAAAACAACACATCGTAAAGAAAATCATTTTGCCTTTTTAGAAGGGAATCAAAATCACGAATTGATCCGAGAGACCCAATCAGGAATACGCTTCACCACTTCAAATCAACTGCGTCGAATAAAACAGCATTACAGTGCTGCCACAGAGAGATTTATATTAAACACGAAATATACCGTACTTTGCAATCATCCAAACTCTTACGAAATGCCTTCCTTCCCATCCAGGGAAGAGAGGGAGAGAGAGAGAGTATAATTTTCATTTAAAACAAATAAGGAGTTTGGGGTCTCAATTAAAACGCTCTCCACGTTAAGCCCTTAAATGTATGTTTTTTTTTAAAAAAAAACAACACCCAAAGTGAAGATCGCCAGGTTTCAATATTCCCTCAAGGGTAGAAATTCATAACAATCTCAGGGTCTGTCTGTCTCGCTTTACAGTGCTCCTTTGCAACCAAATCTGTGACAGGACGAAAAGAGATCGAGTGACCAAAGCACAGAGGAAACCCACCTGAACCTGAACCTGAACCTGAAGCTGAAGCTGAACCTGAACCTGAAGCTGAAGCTGCAACAACTTCAACCCAACCAACAAAACCAACAAAACCACCTGAAACCAACCAACAACTCTGCGTTGTGAAATTTGCCTATTTATACATTATTTTTTTTGGGGGGGTGTGGGGGGGAACCCTTTAAAATGATACCCCCTGTGTGTGTGTGTGTGTGTGTGTTCCTTCTCTTTCGGGGGTGTTTAAAGAACATATACAACGTAGGGTAGAAACAAGCAACCTGTGTGTGTGTGTGTATGTGTGTGTATGAAAAGGACTTGTCTATGAATGAAGTCCCCAGTGGTTTGTGGTGAGAGCTGTTTGGTTTACGGTGAACTCAGGGAGAGAGGAGAGAGAGAGAGAGGAGAGAGAGGAGAGAGGAAGAGAGAGAGGAGAGAGGGATGAGGTGCCTGGTTGCAGCTGACCTGATGGTTTGGGGCTCGGTCTGTCCTGTGCTGTCACGAAGCTCTTGTCAGTAGTTTGAGGCTGAATGGATGGAGGGGTTGATCCAGATCTCTGCGTCTCACTGTCCCTGACTGACTGACACTCACTCACTCACTGGCAGAGGCAGTGTGTGTGTGGGGG